GAAATAAAATGTGGATAAACTCTATTTTGAAACAAAGTTTCTTTTGTATTAAAACCTCTTGTCCAATCATAAGCACTCAAAACAATAGCCAAAAAAAGCTTCTAATTTGCAATGTTCCCCACATAGAATTGCCTTAATATTGTAGCTAAAGAAAGCTTTCATGAAGTCGGAATCAGATATTAAATAAAATATTAGAAAATGCGCTAACTTGTAAAATTATAGCAGATTTTTATGACAAAATAAATAATTTTCCAGACATGCTCAAGTCGAGATCGAACCTGGGATCCTTGGATTATAGGTCCCTTGAGTTGCTAACTGCGACGTGGAAAAAATAAATCAAAAATTCTCTGTATCGCTATACAATAATGGTTCATATCGAGTTCTACCCCTCTTAAATAAGATACTGTAATTATGTGTGCATTATTGATAATACATGAAATAAACTTTTAGATATATTTATGGGTTAGAGACTGAAATGAGTGGTTTGTTTACAAATACTAACGCACGCGCTGGCTGTGAAATGAACGAGAAATTGTCAATACTGCACGAAGTGAAGCTTTTAATATTCAATCTGAGTTCAATGAAATACAAAACCTTTTAATACAGAAGAAAAGGTTAATGTTAAACCAATTTACACGAAATAATGATAAACGGAGAATCTCCTCCAAAGACGCTGCTTTCGTAGCACTTCTTGATGTCCTCTGGTTGAATGGCCGGATGATGTTTTACTTTTGAAGAGCCATTCTCTTTGATTTTCTTTACTTTTGCATTCAAATACATATTAGCCGTCTTGAAGACAGGATCCGTGATTATCGAAAAGGTCTTTCCGACTTTCTCTGATGTCAGGAAGCGGTTTATTGCAGCTCTAATAGAGACGTGAGCAGAGCGACTGTAGTCTTTTCCTTCTTTTTTCAACTCTTGATAGAACTTTGCGAGTCGTTCAGCTAGTTTTTCTTTTTCCAATATTTCTAATTCTTCACTTGGGTACCTCAAGTGCAACCATTCTAAATTAAAAATAGATAWATACAGACATTTAACAACAGTTTCAAACAAAATAGTTCATTATTTCAGTTTAGAATTGACATTTTAGTTTGACAAAGCTACAAACACAGTCAAGTGAACGTGTGTTTTAAAATAAACAACAGTTAAGTCAGCGTAAAACATAATATTATTTGAATTTTATATCTCTAGTATTACCTTTAAAAACACCAACACCCCATGTTGTCTGTCGCTTTGTATTAGCTGGTATAGAGTCCTCTATAATCTTTGAAATGTCATCTTCTTCAACACTTGCAAACCTACCAGAGTCGGYCATTTTGATGACAGCCGTTGTGTGATAGCATGATGTATTCTCATTAGTGCACGGTCACTAGGTGTTGACGTGACGTATCGCACAATCACGTGATTGATTTAAGCCAATTGCGCGCAAGGATTTAGTACATTGAATGAAGATTGAATATTTAAGTTTATTATCGTTTTTGCGGGATTTTTTTGCATGGTAAACTGGACGAACAGGAAGCGGATATTTTGTTTTTCTTAAACACAAACACAAAATAGCACCCGCCGTTTTCATTGAACATATTTGGCACTTCATTAGCTGTTATCTTGTCGATATTTATTTCAAAATGATTTTGCTCAATGTGCTTTTGTTGGTAAGAACGCTATATACAATAAAGATATATTTAAAAAATATCTGATTAAATCGCCTTTTAATTCATCTCACTGCCGGGCACTGTAAGATGCAAAAAAATATGATAACCATAAAAAACGGCAAGCGAGAACAGGGAAAGACAGCTTATAGTTAAATAAGATAAATAACTTATAGTTAAATTTGAAGATAATGAAAACACCTCAAGTCATAAAGTACAGAAGGACAAACTGTTAAAATGTTCTTGTTAATGCATCTTAATTAAAATTAAATCMGTAGACGATTTAATGACTCAGGATAAAACGGAACAGACAGACCCTGAAACCAAACAGGAAAATTATAACTGAATTACTTAAAGTATATAGGCCGTGCTCAATTCTACATGAATACAACTTCGTGATCATCACGAGAAAGTTCAAATAGTAGACYGAGCTATTTCTTACGTTTCAAGACAGAAAAACATAAACTACAACAAAAATGAGTGAAGGAAATTAACGATAAACAATCACCAGAAAGAAAAAAAACGGAACAAATTAAGAATTAGGATGTCGTCGATATATGCGCAATGAACACCGACATGTCTGCATACAACAAGTCTTACCTTAGAAATGTTTCTATTTCTGGCAGTGACAACAACTACACGATTAGAGTCGAACACGATTTCCAGTTTTCACTTCCCATGAGGACGGTACTCATAGCGATGAATTTGATTTTTGCAGTCTTTGGAACATTTGGAAACTTTCTGATCATCTTTGCTGTTCTAAGTACTCCTCGCATTCGACAAAAGGTGTCGAATTTCATTCTTCTGAGCCTAGCAGTTGCAGATTTACTGGTTACTGTAGTTATTCAGCCTTTATTTGCAGCACAGATGATTGTATCGTTTTTCCATCGATGCAGCCTAGCCAAGACATTCGGCATTGCCTGGAATGTTTTGGGAGTTCTCTCTACCTTAAGTTCGGTGTTACATCTTGCCTGTATCAGTGTTGAYAGAGCGATTTGTACTGCAAAGCCMCACCAATATCGTGATATAATCAAGAAATGGTACAAGGYGATGATTGGCGCCTGTTGGGGAGCTGCCTTTGTAAGYTGCTGCAYATMTTCCGTATTTCGACTTGTTTCAGGCARCACACTTCTTGGTTCACCTCTCTTTATAGCTATTCCTCTTTTGAGCTTGACTATCATGCTTGCTTCATATGGAACGATTCTTTGCAAAATTAAGTCCACCACCATCGCACCTGCCTTTCCTGGATTGTCTGCAGTTGTAAGGGACAGGGCAATGGAGAATCGAGTTTCTAAAACCATTGGAATCGTCATCTTGCTCTTCTTCGCTTGCTGGATTCCATCTATTGTGAACCTAATAGTAGGACCAAACTTTGTTCATCAATGTGGAATGTTGGTTTCGAAGAATCTTCCATGGTTTTATACTATTATTCTTTCCAACTCCTCTATGAATTTTTTGGTGTACAGCTTGCGAATCCATCATTTTCGCATTGCCTGTCGGAAAATCATCATCACAACAATGCAAAAGTTTGGACAAGCTGTAGCATGCTGCTGTAATTTTAATCAAAATTCCTAAGAACTATAATATGTCATGACCGCGCACTATACATAATTCTGAAATAACATAAATTTGCAAAGTTCATCACACTTTAGCATGAATATGGAGGAGTTCAACTTTATCCGAGTGTCGGAGGGCGCTTTACATATTAGCCACAGAACAGGCATGGTGAGGCACATGCAGCACATCTTATGTCAAAATTTCGTATTTAATTAAGGCTGATTTACACGGTACGATTTGTTGTGCGCGACTTGTAGTTTACGATTTTCCTACTACAAGTCGTAGGATTTTAAGCAGTGGTTCAAAATCCTACTACAAGTCGTAGGTTGCGTACGACTGTTGTAGACAAGTCGTAGGGACATTTACACTGCGCGATTCAAGTCGTATACTACAAATCGCACGAGACAATCGTGCCGTGTAAATCAGCCTTTAGAGGACTTGGGGGAAAACCTAAGTACTAAAAATCTCAAGCCACATTTGTAAAAGGGAACAGACTGGTACAGATTGGTACAAAATCAAAGATAACGATTTTTCACATGTAAGAAAACTGCGCAAAGGCTCTTCGATGCATGTGAGCCTTGAACAGTATGGTTATATTAGAAGTAGAATTTACAGATGTAACTACAAAAGAGGAGTAGAAAAAAGGTACCACATAACTCCTTTTCTGGACTAGATTTAACTTCACCAATTTTAACTGCACCTGAGGGAAGTAATTTTGACTCCTTTTCGAAGAGCAATTTTAAACCACTTTTGGAGTAATTTTGATTCGCTTTCCGAGTTGATTTAAATTTCTGAGTCAAAAGTTGTCGCCTTGTAAAGTGGATTTAMATCTCTTTAACATTACTCCTCCAGATGGAGTAGTTCTAATTTGATTGGTGGACTTTCGCTAATGAGTTATTGATCCAAGAAGCAGTCTGGGTGTCATGAAAGTGGTGTCGGCATTTTGTTATTTCAACTCCTTGAAAATAACAGTGTACCTTTTTAGAAAAGCAACAGAAGGTCGTCAAGGCAAAGTTTATATGTTAGCGATTNCTTTTGAGCTTGACTATCATGCTTGCTTCATATGGAACGATTCTTTGCAAAATTAAGTCCACCACCATCGCACCTGCCTTTCCTGGATTGTCTGCAGTTGTAAGGGACAGGGCAATGGAGAATCGAGTTTCTAAAACCATTGGAATCGTCATCTTGCTCTTCTTCGCTTGCTGGATTCCATCTATTGTGAACCTAATAGTAGGACCAAACTTTGTTCATCAATGTGGAATGTTGGTTTCGAAGAATCTTCCATGGTTTTATACTATTATTCTTTCCAACTCCTCTATGAATTTTTTGGTGTACAGCTTGCGAATCCATCATTTTCGCATTGCCTGTCGGAAAATCATCATCACAACAATGCAAAAGTTTGGACAAGCTGTAGCATGCTGCTGTAATTTTAATCAAAATTCCTAAGAACTATAATATGTCATGACCGCGCTCTATACATAATTCTGAAATAACATAAATTTGCATAGTTCATCACACTTTAGCATGAATATGGAGGAGTTATAACTTTATCCGAGTGTCGGAGGGCGCTTTACATATTAGCCACAGAACAGGCATGGTGAGGCACATGCAGCACATCTTATGTCGTATTTAATTAAGGCTGATTTACACGGTACGATTTGTCGTGCGCGACTTGTAGTATACGATTTTCCTACTACAAGTCGTAGGATTTTAAGCAGTGGTTCAAAATCCTACTACAAGTCGTAGGTTGCGTACGACTGTTGTAGACAAGTCGTAGGGACATTTACACTGCGCGATTCAAGTCGTATACTACAAATCGCACGAGACAATCGTGTCGTGTAAATCAGCCTTTAGAGGTCTTGGGGGAAAACCTGAGTACTAAAAATCTCAAGCCACATTTGTAAAAGGGAACAGACTGGTACAGATTGGTACAAAATCAAAGATAACGATCTTTCACATGTAAGAAAACTGCGCAAAGGCTCTTCGATGCATGTGAGCGTTGAACAGTATGGTTATATTAGAAGTAGAATTTACAGATGTAACTGCAAAAGAGGAGTAGAAAAAAGGTACCACATAACTCCTTTGTTGCCCTCTCTCCTCTCAACTCATTGATGTACTCCATGAGTACTGCTGGTAGCAGCTCCACATTCTTCAATCTAAAGTGATCAGGTATTCCATTCATCAGACGTTATATTTCTTAAATATAGTTCTTAATCAATGATGATGTATCAGTTATGTTGAATTCTGTGATTCTGCTGAGCATTGTCCCAGTCTACTCTATAGTTGCTTGATGTGACATTGCTTTCATCAGTCTGCCTCTCCCTTAGTAACCTGGTAATACACTATGGAAAACCACCCTAATGTTTGAGAACCATCTGAAATTATATACCTTGAAAATGGCACTAACACTTTACTTCCAACTCTAGCACCAAATCTTTCACACAGCTGTTCGCGGTCCATCCCCAGTTCTTTTGCGACCACATCTTGTACCTTCTGAGTACCAAAGACTTCTTCTGCATGCTGTAATTTTGATGACAGGTATGTTATGAGCAAGAGCAACTTAAGCTGCTTGTATTTGTTGATTTTAGTGATTTTACAGTACCTGTGTAGCTTCTTGGATTGTCAGTTTGCAGTTGCAGATTTGAGATAAGATATACTCCCTGTCTTTTTTGTCTAATTTTAGGAGCTCCCTCCAGAGTCTGTGGGATTCTAGCTGTTTCCCAGTTTTCATTGCTATGAAACAAGCAGACATGTATGTGCTCAGTTGTACATTATAATATTATTTTGTGATTCATATGTCTCCAAAACATACCTTTTAGACGACCTTGTTCGTGTCTTGAAAAGACTTCATCTACCAGCTTCCAGGTAGATGCACAAACCTTTGCAATGCCCAGCCATGGACTGTATGAATTTATGCTCTGTAGTTTAACAATAAGAACATAATAATTATTTTTGTCATTTGATGTAATATGTAGTTATAATGAGTGTACCTTTCCTTCAGGAAGAAGCCCCTGACACTTCAATCTCCAATCTAGTGGCTGTTCTTCTGGTGGGTCTTTCATTAGATTGGTGTCATTTAAGAGAAGTCGACGGAAGTTTGTGATCTACATATTATGGTTCAACATAGAACATAGAGTTACCTTGTGCATATCATTAAACTACTAGATGAGCATAACCATTTTATATGAAAGATTTTAATACAGAGGCATCCAATTATAATATTCAGGAAGAAACGGATCCATTAAGATTTAAAAGAGAATCAGTGAATGTAAATTTAAAGCCTTTTTTGCTGCTATTGGCTATTCTTAAAATTCCAGTACAGGTGGGAATAGCTTGATCATTATTAGGAAAGAAAACACTATGAATAGCATTGAATCAACTTAAAGTAAAGTTATCATTAAGTAAAGTTGTCCTTTTTGTTCATCTCAATCGAGTTAAACATAGATTTGATATTAAGCCCACTTGCCCTGGAATTTTGAGAAGTCATGACAAAATGACACTAAAGAAAACTGTGTTAGTCTAGCATGGCTTTGTTAAATATCACTGCAGAGTTATCATTGAACTGTTGATTATTAGTGGGGGGAAAACTTACATATTCTCTTGCTGTCACAGTGTGGCACATATGTTGTTTTTTATTGTGCTGTCCAGCAAGCCAAACTATCTCATTATCAGTTAAGCCTTTGAAAATAACAGATGTTACTCCAAAGTCTCCTCTGTCTCCTCCTTCATAGCATTTTTAAATCGCAGACCTGTACAAAGTAGTTACCAATTATCAATAACAAGTCATTTGCACTAACATATTCACAATTTTTTGGAGTGGAGTGGAGTGCACACCACAAAAGCTGCACCTAATTTAATTTAGTTATCAACTATGTTGTATAATAAGAATTCATAAATGCATAATAAGTTAAACAAATGACTGGAAAAAGGGCAATGAAAATTGTGTTTATGCTTCTAAACACTTAATAACAGTTTTTCACTTTTGTTGTGTGCACTCTAGAAATAGCTAATACTAGGTTCAACAAAATTAAAATAAAGTGCATGACTGAGTTGTTGTGATACTAATGTGCATAATTATTAATAGTTGCTTACAAGTAATGGGTACCCCCAAGAACATATAATTGTGCATCTGTCTTTACTTTTCCACTGGTATCAATTGGCAATGTGTCACCGTCTGTCACAAGATATACTACAGTGTTTGTGGTGACCATCTCATCACAGTTGAGCATTGATGACTTCAGTTTCTCAATAAATGCTTTGTCTTTTTGTCTTGTTTGATATTGTTCCATCTCTTTAATCTGGGTTATGGGAACCTTGAATAAATCTAAGAATAGAGCAGTTTTTAGCATACCTAAGTGTTGCAATCATTGCATAGCATTTTATTTGTCTTTTGGATATACACTGTAGTCACATACAAGAATGATAAAATGCTTTCACTCTAATTTTAAAATATCGATTAATATAGAACTGAATTCACTCATGGTCCTAAAATTATTTCATTTTTTAATAGTGAATCAACCTTTATCGTCATGTTTGATCCTCTTTGAAGAGATGTTTGCCACCATATTTTCATTATATAGGACGGTTTTTTGATCCCATCTCATCTTCTTTGGTGGCTTGGAACTAGGATCATACTCAGTTGTTCTTTTCTCTGAAAAAAATGATAACCAATATGAGAAAAAAAATATCCAAGTTTTTTATGTATAGTTTAAAACACGAGAGAGTGTTTTATCAGGTATAAAGATTTGAGCCGAAGACAATCTCGAGTGTTTTAACACCTTAAAAAACTCCAGCACTGATTTGAAACTCAAAGTCGTTAAAATTCTTGGAGAAATTGCCGTAAATATAAGTTTTGAAATAAATGGGGCAAACTGATCATTCATGAATTACTAAAACCACTTGCCATATCCCACATTGAATATACACATAAAGTAAAATAGAACTCAGCTGTTGGCTGTTTACTGCAATGGGTCGACATGCTGCTTGGTCAATGATCAGGTATTAAACCTGAGACCTTTGCTTAAGGGTCATGGACCTTTATATCTGATAAAAGCAGGCTTATTATATAAAGAATACTAGGAGTGTTTTAAGTAAATCAGATTATAAAGGTCCATGCGTGTGACCGAATAGGCTATATAGTTGTCCTAATACCTCATTGATTATATATGCATACGTTTATTGACCATACTTTGATGGGTTTTATAATAAAAAGGCATTGGACGTACGTGAGCATGCAATAATATATTGATTCAGAATAAATGATATATAATCGACCAAGGGGCTCTTGAACATTGATTAATGACGTGGGCTAAGAATAGTTTAAAACTCCCGTTTGCACATCAAGTCAAAAGCTTTGCTTTAATTTCTTAGACTATTGCATTTCCAAAAAAAAACTAATTAAGTGGTCTAAAACTGAGACAAATTGAAAAGCAAACAATAAGATAATGCCTAGCTTCTTGCACTCTAGTATAAAATTTTATTATCTGCAAATCATATAAAACAAATCCAGGAATGAAGCAGGTCTCAATTAAAAAAAATATATAAAAATATCCAAGTTTTTTATGTATAGTTTAAACTTTTTAGAATGCAATGGTGCGTGACTTATCTTCCGGTCATGTACAGCGGTCACGCAAATCAAGTTGCAAGTCAACAGGCCAGGCTGCTCGGTATACATGTACGTACATCATTACCTACCTGTACGGCCTGTACATACTCGTTCTTTGAAAGAGGTTACCAGTTGATCAACAGTCTGTCCATTGAGCTTGTGCTTAGCACTGTGATCATAATGCTGATGATCCAACACAATCACTGTTTCGGATTGTTGAAACAGGATTACAACGTCTGATTTTTGGGGCTTCTTGCCTCTGTAGTATTTTTTAATTTCCATTTTAGTGAGACTGTCAGGGTTCTGAAAGGTAAGAATAGGGTTTGGAATTTAGCTGGACTTAATATAAGGTAAGTGCTATATTGTTTAGTATAATTGGAAGTGTACCTTAACTTCTTTTATTGCTCCTGGAAGAGTCTCGCTGCCATTCCTGGAAAGGCGTATCTTTTGTAGCTTTCCTCCGCTACAGAGTTTCACAACACCATCGGTAGTTGAATTTAAATACCATTTATCCGTAGACTCCTACGAAAAACATTTTGCTTGATCAGTTATCTACTCAATACAACACATTATTCTTCAAACAGAAAGCTTTAAAAGATAACTTAGTTAAGCTTAGTACCACAGCAGTACTACATGTAAGCTTAAGTTACTTTAGCTTACTTACCATCTTAAAAATTGATGATTTCAATCTTTAAAGTGAGTGATTCAAACACAGTTTTGGGAAGAAATGTTACAACGTCCTTACTCCATCCTGTGTGTCGGTTGAATGGGAAACGTTTTCTTTTTTCCCGTTATTTTAGAAAATTGCGTGATACACGAATGAACGTACGAACTCAGCTCGAAGGAGGTCGAGAAGGGAGCGAAAATGAGAAATGCGCGAGCTCGAGCAAACCCGAAAACTTTTCCCTTTATTTTATACCAAAAAAGAAGGCTCTAGAAAGCCGAAGATAGTACGGAAATTCATGGCGTGTTTTTAAAATTGTTCAAAATTCACGCCACTTCTTTCTTGCACAATTTACCGGTTCGCCCTTCCTCTTGGACATGGCGACCCCAGTGGCGGTCTACTACAAAAGTAAGTAAATCAATGTATAAATCGACATTTTTGCGCAAATGCTGCGTCTAATAAAATCTCTTGTGAAATGACTTGACTCCATATTTGTAAAATGTGTTGCCTTTAATGTTTCCATTACACGGTAAGTGAGTTTGTTTCCCTTCCTTGATCAGTTATCCACAGTTTTACCTTTCGTTTCAGAAAGACCTCTGAAGAGGCATCATACAAAACTTGAAACAAATGTTTGTTCCTGTGAAGGTTGTTTTTCACAGTAAGTTTTCTTTGTAACAATGGGAAATATTTTTGCATATTTTCACTGATCATGCTCTGATAGGCAAATATCTGTTGTCAATTCATATACGACCTAAAAGTAACTATACAATCTAGAGTTGCATGAAAATTGTCAGATCCACACAAAATCCAGATTGATCATGTGACTGTTGCACAACTAGTATAAATTCCCAATTATGATTTTTTTAAAGTTCTTTTTTTTATGGTTCAAAGGTCAAAAAAAGAAGAGATACTAGCTGACTTCCCAAGTAAAGTACAAGCACAAAATCAGTACCTATTGAATTTAATGTTTCAATTTGGAAAAAGCAATGCTGAGACTGAAGAAGACCTTGAAAATTTAAAGTATACAATTATGGGAGAAACTATCTGTGAATGGTGCTTGTGTGTACTGTACAACATCAGTGATTATCGATACGAAAGAGTTAAGAACTTTTATCGGGTAAGAACTGTACTTTTG